CCACCATGATTTATGGTAACTAAATCCCCGGAGAAATTTAGCAGTCAACCAAACAGGCGATACATGATTGCACTAACGGCACCCAAATTATCCTTATTACCGACGCCCTTCTACAGACGATCGAAAAACTTTGGATGTTCAAACGCTCAGCTCAAGAGTATTCTGTTTCATAAGACATAAATGGAAACTCTTGTCTGCTTTGACTTCCAATTGATTTAACACTGAACATTGTTTTATTTTATATATTTACTTTGAAGACTTTTCTAAAAAAACTATTTCCATTTTAACTTGCTAAATCTAACATATATATTCAATAACTTAACTAACTTGTAGATAATTATTTTATTTCATACATGTACCTACACCTATAAGGATTCATTTGAACTACTCCGTTTTCATTATATACTGTTCATTGTATAATAATTAAGAAAAAATGGAATTATTATATCATTACAACTAATAATTACAGAGAAAAAAGAATAAAATATAGGCTTTTGCGTCACAATTTAAATAATAATACATAAAGAAACTACATGATAATTATTTCTAGAATATTTTAAAACTTTTTCTAGTATAAAAATAAACTAGCTTTCAGTTGATTTATTCTACCTTCATTTATTAGAACTACTTTGTGTTTCATTCAGTTCTAATTCAGAATATTTGTTTCAAGTATTATACAATTACAAAAATAAATACAGACAAAAAATATAAAATATATTGCTTTCCATTATAATTTAAATAATAATATAATTTATTGTAACAATAAAAAAAGATAATAAAACCTTAATACAATAATTATAAATTAGAAAGTCAAATGTTGCAAAGGGAGTTTTAAATAATAATGCACAAAGAAATATTTGAAAACTTTGTCTACCTTTAACAAGCTTTTAGCTAATTTTTCAATATTATATTTCATATATTTAACTACATCTATCGTAATTCATTTGATCTACTTTGTTTTTCTTTGAATTTTCATTTATAAAGAAGAATATTCATTACAACAATTATACAATTTAAAATTAATAATTACTTACAAAAAAACTATGAAAAACATTTAAATTATTTAAATAATTATTAATAAAGTATTATTAAAAATAATGTAAATGAGTTATGTAGATTTCATATATTGATTAATTTTGTATAGCTATTTAGAATACTGAAATAGACTTGATTAATTTGAATTACAACAAATATAGAATTACATAAATAATAATCAAATACAAGTCATTCATATCTTACATAAAATAGAGCAATGTGCGGTTTCGGTCAGTTATGATTCACTATAGTCCTGGTTGAAAATTTCAAAACAATCTAAACTTTAATTGAGTATACAAAATTATTTGTTTTATACATAATAAAAATGACTTAAAGTTTCTTCTTGTGAGCTTTAATTCTATTTTTTTTACTTGCTTGATTAGTCCGGTTTCAAACAGTCTAGGATATTGGCAAAATCGATTATCCGCTCTATTGCTCTAATAATATTTTTCTTTTTTTTGAATAACTAAGTTTCATTTCTTTTATAATGATATTAAAATTAATTTAAATAGATGAACAAAAGTATAGTTTACAAGAGTTAATGCGGTATAATCCGGTTGAGTATAGAGCCAACACTGTATTTTCATCCATGCATAAACATGTATCATGTTGTTGCGCTGTACCTAGTTCACGTTAGTTGTGTATTACAACCACTTATACAAAATGTAAAATTATATAACTAACAGTCCATTAAACTTTACTTAAGTGAAAGTTAACTAAAATAAACTACATTTTTTAAACTGCATGTTTAATTCTGTGAATATACATTTAATTACTATATATTATCTACATGTTGGAAATTAACATTTATTAAAATAGATTAATTTCAAAGTATAAAATCATTTTGTGTTACTTTTTAATTAAAAGTTTTAAAATTTAACAATTGTTTTATTTCAATCAGTGATGTTTTTTTTATTATTGCTATAATTTAGTTTTTTTTAGCTGTTTTATTCCAAATGAACATCATTTTTTGATTAACAACTTTAACCAATCGTAACACGCTAAATTTTCGATTTTTTTATACTCAAATATACGTTTACTAGGTTTTTCATTACTTTGGTTTATAACAAAAAAATATTTTGTAATAAAAAAAAATCATATAAGTATTAAGTCGAAATAATAGTTTATATATTAAAAGGAATTGTATGCTAGTTTAAATTGAAAATAGTTAATTTATAATAAAAACTTTGAGATACAAAAAACATCCAACAAAAACTTTTTCTTCGTCACTTAATTGTTGGAACGTTAATTAAAAATGCAACATAATACAAAATTAATTTTACTTAATTTTAATTACAAATGCTTGTTAAGTTCTCGTGTATAATACGCAGAGTTTGTAACATAAGTACAAACTATGGGTGCAAAATTGAGAGTGCAAATTATATTTGTTGTTATCAAAAATTTAACAATCTTATAACTATGAATGTTATTGGAGCAATATTTAATATTACCAAAATGTGTGCCGTGGCGCAAAAATTGAAAAACTACTATTAACATAAAGTTCTCCCGATTTCAAATATTTTTCGTATTTCGAAAAGTTAGGAGTGCGTATTATATACGAGTAAGTATTATTTTTTTCAAGAATAGACATCTACAAGTATTGTGTCAGGTGAACATCAAGAGTCAATATTACTTGACTTGTACTGCCTATTATGTGTACATGTGCACATATTAGTTGCGTACACTTGGTTTTCTTTTTATGAGGTAGATACGTTCCACAGGAAAACGCATAAAAATAAATCGCACAAAAATGGACTAGACACACGTATAAATAAAGAATACGTTCCATAATTTTTTAAAACCGCATGAAACTAAATCAATGAGTTACAATATACCGAAAATCGCATAAAAAAGGGTTTATTGAATTTCAAAAAATAATTATTCTTACTATATTCTTTCTGAAATGTTTATTCATAATTTTATAAAAACGTTAACAATCATAGACAATTTTATTAAATTTCAGAAAAATATAATCTTAACATATTCCTTCTAAATTTATACGGAAAAATTTTACAAAAAAATACAGATTTTTTATATTGAACTTAATCTTTCTTCACATTTTTTCTTTAGAATTATCGTCGCTATATGAGAGTGTTCGGCATAATTTGCGAACTAGCTCGAAATCACTTTCATCACTACAAGAGATAGTCAACATATCAGATCTATGTCCTGAAGATAATGATTCTGCACAAGTAAATTTAGTCTCAACTTCGCATGTTGATTTTTTCCCTTTGACAATATAATCAGTGATTAAACATTGCGATGGCTTTGCTATTTTTTTGTACAATTCCTGATATCCAAAAATGCAATTCTGAAGCTCGCGTTGAAACTTGAATGCTCGTTCAGAATTATCATCTTTTTCGATGAAATGGTTTGCCAATTTGTGTTAATAATAAACCAAATAGTTATTTAAAAAAATGCTTCTTGAAATAAAAACCGCATAAACTCAAAACCGAATAAAAAGAGGACCGAGTGTATATTTACATATTTAAAATAATAATTATGTATACAAATATTTGGCTTCAAGTTATTTATGTAATCAGCAGTGAGCCGCATGAGAGAACCGCAGTTTGACTAAGTCTGATATGCATGTGCACAGGAAACAAAAAAAAAACAGAAATAAAAAAAGAAACGCATTTCGTTGGAGTATAATTTAAACTACTTTACAATTACTCCGCATGAGTTCTCCTGAAATTATTCACTTTTCTCGGCGAAATAAAAATGCAACTGAAACGTCAGATGCAGCAATATTTAGAAGTCCCCCATTATATATACAAACACCTATTATAACGTTGTTTTTTTTTTTTCACGATTTTTTTCGTTTTCCCTCGGTTTTATATAGTTATGAGAGTAATGAAAAACTTCATACTTCATATACCCATTTTTTATCTTCATCTCAGTTGCAGACCGAGTGGGGGAAAAAAAACTTCCCTCCTGTGCTTTCGTCTGCTGTATTCGAATCAATAGCGACGAATCCGTCAAACGTAATTACGTAATTGTCGTCGTTCGGTTATTGTTATCGCCGTGTCTCCGGGATTCGCAGCTTGCTTAAAGTTTGTTAGTTCCATTCGAGTTTTCCTTCAAAGGCTTTTCCATCAATTTTCGCGCGGCTTCTGATTTTAAGCAGCGATAAGATTTTACTACCCTTTTGTGCTCCCTCGGCCAGAAAATAAGCTGGTTTTTGGGTCTCCCAGTATGCACGAGCTTTCTTCCCCCTTTTTCCATCAATTCGGTTCCATTCGCACTCTATTTCTATTATATTCTTATGTAAAATTTAGAGTTCATCAAAGACTAGTGAACCATCGTGTTTATTGCATAAAGTAGCATATTTGATCTATTATAACTGGTGATAATTAATTGATGTTGATAGTTATTCTTATAGTAGTTAACGTGTAGTATATGTCAAAATTGCATCAAGTGTATATCATAATATCTGTTAACGTTACGATGACGTTTATGTAATAATGTCTATGAACGACACAACATTGGATATACAATAATGTCGTTCAGTGTCTCGGTGAGGTCAGTCAAAAAATATGATGACTACGTCTATATGACATCGATCATTGTTACGATTAATCAATGTCATGATGATTTCGATTAACTTTACAATAATATCGATCAACATTACAATGACTACGTCAATATGTTGTTGATCATGGTTACTACTAATCAAAATCATGATGATCTCGATTAACGGCACAAATATATCGATTAAAAACATGTTGACTACGTCAATATGACATAGATCATAGCTACGATTAATAAATGTCATGATGATCTTGATTTACATTACAATGATATCGATCAACATCACGATGACTACGTCAATATGACGTCGATTAATCAATGTCATGATTGACATCTTCATAATAATGTCTATCAATGTCATAACGAAATTAGATATACAATGATGTAGATTAATGTCATTCAATAAAACAGAATCGATGTTATTTTACGGAAAAATGGTCTACAACTTCTACATTGTTATATCACAAAAGATATCAACAAAAACAGCTTCAGAATTTATCAACGTATGTAAATATAACTTCTTATTCCCTAAAAGAAGGTAGATTTCTATAAGATATTTTATTAAAGATTCAATATAAGAAACCTTCTTTATATATTCATTATCATGATAACAACTCATATGATCTATATATATATCTTTACATTTAAAATTTACTGTACTGTATCTGAACACAATTTTGTTATTAATTGAACAGGAGAATATACTTTGGTTGAAGTATATTTCTATGATAGTATTGAAAATTAAAATTAAAATGAACTAAAAAGTTAATATAGTTATATAAACCCAAAGTATTTTATGGATGAAATTCGTGAAAGGTAATCTGTCTTTATGAATAGAGCATAGAATATTAATTGAAAATTAAATAATAATAAGAATGTAACACTTACATCAAACTTTTTCAAAATATTTCTTGAGAATTATATATTTTTATTCATCGTAGCTGTAGAGTTTAAATTGCATTTATAGATAATTGAAAAGTTCTTGAACTCAAAAATATATTTCAATCGTTTCTTTTTTTCAGCTGCATAAGGGGTGATTACGTGAAGCTGTTTTTGCACTTGGAGGGCGGCGAAGTGAACGAGTACACCCCGTGGGCGGCGATGCTGTGCGGCGGTCTCGGCGATATTCCCACGGTGCTTTACTCTTCCGGTCCTGGCCTGGTGCTAGAGTTCCACTCCGGTTCGAAGACAACAAACGCCACGGGATTCTCCGGGACATTCCGGTTTATCGATAGACGTAAGTGTCCTTGGATTCAATTCAGCTTCCATGCTTCTACGAAAACGCAATATTGTCGCACGCAAAGCAAATTCGACAGGCACAAAAACTCCACGTAACCGTAAATTTAATTACCGACGGATTTCTGCGGCACCCTACTCCCTCATTTCCACGAGAAGCGAGCGAGCTGTACACAATAAAGACACATTTAATGGAATCCCGACGAAAGCGAAATGATTAAACGGGTTTCGAGATGGGTCTTTTTCCGGTCAGCTCTCTTTCCTTTTCATCTAATATGGACATATTTTAATGAATTTTGTAGCAAAAGAAACGAATATTTCATTGGTTTCAGGATGAATACACATAATTTACTTATGAAAAGCAATAATTAATATGTAGTGTAGTATGATGTATATAATTTGAAAAAATTTCATAGCAATTGAAATACGAGTATTTATATCATCATGATGGAATTTTATCTATAGGTTTATAAGAAGATACATTTGCTAAGAATCGTAAAGTGTGTACTTACCTTTACAATTAAACATCTTTAAATATTATCATCTTCATAGATATGTGTAAACTTCATTCACCCACTAGTGTTGTCTGTACTAGTCGCCTTCAACAGCCTTCGCTAATTTTCTTCCTTAGTGGAGAACAACCCGGTCTTTGGGCTCTTTTGCCAACGAAGATCTCTAATTCTAACAGTTGCCTGAGATTTTCCTCCGCTTCGAGCTTCATATTTACCGATCTGCAGCATATGAATAACGTGTGTTCTGGGCTGTTATCTCTTTTGTAATACCAGTACTTTCAATCTTCCTTCTTCGCAATGAATTGCAGGTATTTACCGAAGCACCCATGACCAGAAAAAGCCGGACTCTAGTGGAAAATTATACAACCGTATAAAGTATGTACCATAACAATTTGGGAAAGTATTTAATATAACAACTTAAAAACGAATGTTTATTTCGTCAAGTTTAAATATATGTATTGGTACGTTTTCAAAAAGATACTTTCATAAGAATCATGAAGTGATAACAACCTACCTACCTTTACAATATGAAAGAAATATTTGATAACAACTTAAACACCTTTACCGTCATTATGTATACATGTTTGCAGATCATTTATATTTTTTTGTTTCTAAAAATCTATTATTGTGTCCTAGGAATAGCAAATCGGGTCACTGTGAAATGTTGTATTTCTGTTGTCTGATGTGAAGTCTCAGGGTTTGTAAATAAATCAATCTAACTTTACTTAAGTTTGATTCGTGTTTCCTTTATTATCTCAACTAAGTTGATGAATACATGTGCAAAAAAAATGTTTTGACTTTTCTAATATAACAGTCACAAACTAAAATATGCATTGAAATGAAAACACTTCAAAATATTACGAAAATTAAGAAGTTTTAAATATATACAAATACGTAATTAGAAGTGATAGTTTCTAATTAATTGATTGACCTAAATCTATAATTAGTATAATATATCTTAAGCGGTAGTAAATAGTTCGATAGCTGAGTGAACTTGAGGCATGCACGATGTTTACTTGCAACTTGATTATATCTTATCGAGCACATAACGAATTTCCAATAAACTTGCTGTTTGTATACGCGGGAGTAGCTGAATATCACAAAGTCATTAAGTTGTTTTCAATTGATTAGAGGCAACCAACAACAATAGCATAGTTTCAAAACTGATCCCACCACAAACACCCCAAAACCGCTACCGTCTACGTTCAGAATCAATAACTTAATCTGAAATCGCCGTGAATTTGAATTAATAAAACCAATCAAATTACGAAATTTCTATTTGTCTCCTGCTGGAAACGTTTAAATCGACGCCGTCCGTCGAATAAATAAACAAAATTAAATGTAATTCAAAAAGCGATCGTTGCGTGCACTGCGTGATCCCGTGTATTAGTCAGTTTTAATTAAAATGTGTTTTTCACAGCGACTTTTTCGAAATGTCACACGCACATTCGCAAATGTCTGGTTGTGGTTTATTTGCTGGTATTTGTTTTCGCTTGTTTTTTTTTGTTTCATTTTCTGGCATGTATGTATGTAAATAATATAATCCGGACGTCCTCTGGTTCAGCGAACGATTACAATTTCCCAAACGAAAATGAAAAATAAAATAAATTAAAAACAACGAGATTGATGGTTTATGACCTGACTATTATAACTGGTAGCAATCAAATCGTTTGCAGATCGCCTGGGGATTTTCATCGTTTATGCATTAGTCGGGATACTTCCAAGTTTTAAGTGTTTCGAAGTTTTGCATATAAGCCCTTTGTAGTAAGCTACTTCTGAAACTTATACTTAAACTTACTCAATACTATTTTCTTCAAGTTTTGTAATAGCATATATTGATTGTCATATTATAATATTCAAGATTAACTATCAGGACAGAAATGTATTCTTCACATTTGACAGCTTACAAAAGTTAAGCAACGCATTTTGCTGGATGGGTGACAAAATTTAGCTTCTCCTGATAATAAATAGCAATTTAATAAGCTATTTGCTAGTACAAGTATCAATATCACATAACATAACAATATACAAAATTTGAAGTACTTTGGACATTTTTTATGGCGTGTAATTTTATTCACAATCTGTTCATCAATGTAAACATTGCGTAAATTTAAGATCGCCGTTGACATTAGGTAGGTAATCTATCCCGGTGGATAGTTACCATTGTGGTGATTTTTAATTTGTAGGTTAGCTGTCGTCTTGTAAGTTAACTTCAGTAGTATATTGATGCTCTGCGATTCCACTATTTTCTTTGACTGTGAATCTGTTTTGTCATTATTATAATTAAATCCAGAAATAAAAGTAATCACATAAAGTATACGCTTTTTTTTGGGAATACATTTTTTTTGTACAACAAAAAGTTAGATTAGTACAAATAATTTGATAAGTTCATAGTACATATCAGTCAAATGTCAACTGACATAACTAAATATCTCTACAATATAATAGTAAGGTTACTTTGATGACATCAATTATAAATCCAAATAAAACAAACAATGAAACATCAATAACTTAAAAAGTTTTACAGGTCTTATATAAATTGTCAACAATACTATTTTCTAATATTATTACATGTTTTTACAGCAATACCTCGCATAGACTCGATAATCGATTCTCTAATATTCCATACTATTTGTATCCGGACTAATCGAGGAACTTAAAACCTCATAAAAATCAAACATTTATACAAAATAATTTTATATATTTTTTAGAACTTATTATCATTTTGCTCAATTAGTTTGTCTTGATTTTCAAACCGGTCTAATGAATACTGACTGAATACATTTAAATAAATAAATCTTCTTGTTTACTATTCACAAAATAAATAATTGACACATGACACACATTTTCTTATCACTCGTGGTTAAAGCATTAGGTAATACTGATTCAAAGGAGCAATTAGGTATTTCCATTACATAATTTAAAATTATTATCCTAGTAATCAATAAACAAGAATGATTACATAACAGCGCAATGCGTCGTTTACAATCACTATTTATTCTTTCAAGTCATTGTACATAATTATTATGTAACCTCGGAAATTTTCATTGGATAATTTCGTAGAATTGCCTTCTGAGTAATAATTTGCTGAATATTTATTGCATTTTTATAATTTGTATACAAAGAAAGTTTATTTAAAAAATTATTGAAATAATACCAGTCAAATATATTACAATTTTTTTTAAAATAACTTGTAATAATAATTATAGTTTTCAACATTATATTAAATAATACTAGATTACGAGATGTGTAAACATTAACTATATTAATAATTAATAATAATAATATTGTGGTCTTATGTAAATGAAAGTTATATAGATTTGATTAAATCTAAAATAAAAATCAAATGAGGATTGACCTACTTTGTAGAAATCACATTAAGATTTACTATTATAAAACTATTTAATTAAATGAAAAAAAAATAGTTCATAACAAATAGTTTCATTTGAGCAGTTTCTTTTTATAGTTCAGGGGTTGGCGAACAAAGGTAAATTACCCAAAGTGGGGTAAAAAGTAATACTTGAGGGTAATGAGGACAAAATATATTGGAATTGACTCATCTCACAGTGTATAAATTTGATTGGTAAACATTTATTGGTAATTTAGATACATTAAATTCAATTATTAAGTAAAAATGATTATAGTGATTTCAGCCAATAAAATAAAATAGTTTGTAATATCTAAAAAATCATATTAAGACAATTATATTAACAACTATTTACAATAATCTAAATTAAATATTCAACACATCTTTTGCTAATTTCAGGAATTGCAATTTATCGTTTTATGTATCAACAATAATTTATTGCAACTTGTAATGAAAATAAATAATATAAATGTGCACAAATTAGCTACTTGGTCGTTTGCTAATTTTGGAACCGAAGAGTTTGTTGTTTTAGTTTTATGTTCGTAAACCGAATTTCAAAAATGAGACTAAATAAATACTATAGATAAGATAAACAAAATAACATTTCTTTAATATTGAAACTAATTTTTTTTTGTTAGAAAAGCATTTATATCTACTACCCTTAATTGGAAATTCGAAATTAAAATTGAGAGCAATATTATAATAAAAGTGATTTAATATGGCTATAATTTTATAGAATTATAGATGCGCATCAGTATTGGATATTATTTGCAGGGAAGCTGTAAAAAAGGCATGTAATTAAAAATTGATAACCAATATAACGTTTTTTTTTTCATGAGAACGTGAAGTGCATATCGTTAGTGCCGCAAGCAACGTTTTTATTACGAGTAAAGGGTGCGAAGTGAAAATTTATTAGTTTCAGTGCGGGAACGTGATGGGGTTTAGCAAATTCCATAACCGGAAACGGATGGAAATAAAGATGGAAAAAAAGAGGGATTGCAAAAAAAAATTATCCGTGCACACGGGTTGAAAAGATATGGAACCGCACCGTATTTATACACGGTTAAGCACAAACATCATTTAACCACGCAAATATTTTACTTTCATCGAGAAAATAAATAA